AAAAAAAAAAAAAAGGGATCGGGCGCAGAGTCGGAGAAAGACGAAGGGACGTGGAAGGAGGAGCGCTCAGCACGAGGGGAAGATGGCATGCAACCGAAATTCAATCGGGAACCGAGTTTACACGGCATGCAAGAATTCAAAATGGCCACGCGCTTTAGCACGAAGAAAATTTGAATGCCCACAACCGAAGTTCCTAACTGTTTCTTGGATTCCTCGTCGCGGTCGCTAGCCGTCCGCGCAGAGGACTAATTTGAACGAGGGCAGGGGCCATTCCGGAAGATGCATGCATTTAATCCTCAAAAATGGAAAATGGACCCCACTTTTCTTGATCAGCTAAGATCTGTGCTTCGTGGCGTCCTTCGGGTTTCACTCCTAAGCGTACGTGAAGCCACGAAGTACGGATCCCTGCTTATCACATGCCCCCGCAATATGAACCAGACAACTGCAATAACACCAAAAACCCCTAATACGGAAATGGTAGGCTACGCTAGGAACATGACACCCAGGTGGTGTCATGGGCTGTCTGACCAACCCGGGCTGGTGCTCATAGGAAAAAATAAAAGTGTATAAGACGATCATGCTTGGCGACCGAAGTACCCGTGCGACAGGGATCATTCGATAGTGCTTCAGGTAGGGTTGGGAGAAGTTGTCCTGGCCTAGCACTGGTGCCTGCAACTGCTGTCCGGTAATATCCGAGGTAGGGCCAACAAGTACCCCAATAGATGGGGAAGCAGGGGTCACGCTAAGGAAGCAGAACGATGATGATGTAAGGTGGGGGGTGGGTCCTCTGTGCTCCAAAAAAAAAAAAGAGAGAGAGAGAGAGAGAGGCCAGGGGACCTCCTTAAAAAAAAAAAAAAAAAAAAACCTCCAGTCTAATTGTGGGGAGGGAACCTCACAATTCCACCCCGATGAACTCACTGGGCCCAGTACCCAGCTTCGGCTTGGCTAGAACTTCTGTTCGGCACGTGCTTCCCATACATAGTATTTGTTCATACATACCAACCCACAAACTCACACCCTCCCCCTCTCCACGCTTCCCGTAATGGTTGGAACTTGGAACATTTATAAGCAGGAACTCAGGACAGAGTTAAAAGTTAAAACCAGTTAGCCAAGTAATGTACAAAAACTACCCATGCTAATGACAAAGGATCCAGCCAAATCTCATTAATTGACCATAACGA